ATCACCAAAGGAGTTCTCGCAAGCAAGCTCGTCCGTTTCAGCCCAGCGACACAGCACAGTTGGAGGAATACGATAGGCAGAAACAAGCCTTAAGATATCTTCATCCGAATTGAACAAACTGGAAAAGATACTCACCTTAGACCCATCATCATCAAGTCTCAATTTGCCTTTGCGCTTCTTCTTTCGGGACCGTAAGGAGTGGTCTGAGCCACCATCTGGGAGGTCTTGAGGGATTTGGCTTTGAGAAGTCACACTTAAAGGAGTCAGATCGTGATCACCAAAAGCGGCACCCAAAGTTTCCTTGTCGCCTGCAGTGTTTAGCCCAGCACCTGGAAGGGTGCCTGATACTCTATGCTCGCCCAAACGAGATAGCCCAGCACCTGAAAAGGTGTCTGATGCTCTATGCTCACCCAAACGAGACAGCTCAGTACCTGGAGAGGTGCCTGACCATCTTTGCTTGCCCAAACGGGACAGTCCAGCGCTGTCTGGCCCTCCAAAGTTGCACAAAACAGCTCCAAATGAGCCCAAATCAGCGCCTGAAGTGGCGCTCAAATCTGTCCCTGCACCCAAGTTGTTGTCCAGCTCCCTTGTTGCACGTCTGCTGGCCTGGGCAGCCCCTTTTCTGGCCTACACGTGGCTATCCAACTATCTAGTCTGTGCGCCCAAGCTACCTAGTTCGCCTGTCTGCGCGCTGAAGCTGCCCAGTCCACCTACGCCCAAGCTGTCCAGTCCGTCTGCACCCAAGCTGCCCAGTCTGCCTACCTGCGCGCCTAAGCTGTCCAGCCCACCTGTCTGCGTGCCCGGGTTGTCCAGCTTGCCTGCCTGCGCGCCCAAGCTATCCAAGACAGCATTTTGGGCGCCTAAGTTGTCCAAGACAAAATCTCTAGCGCCCAAATGGTCCGACCTAGTGCCCTTGACGCCCAGGCAATCCTCTGCACTCCTTCTAAAGTGGGACAACTCCTCTAAATTGCCCAAACCAGCGCCTAAAGTGGTGCCCTGTTCAGCGCCTAAGGGAGCACCTACCACCTCCCTTCCTTCAATCTCCACCATTTCAATGGAATTTCGCACATCTCCCTCTTCAATCGACATTACCCACTTAGATACTCCACTCAAAAGGAAGAAATCCCACCTATATATATATTCTTGGAAGGATTCAAGAAGAGCACTATTTTTCCCTCTCAAGTTTCAATGAAGTGGGTAGAACTTGGGTTTTCAAAGTTTTCAAGAATGGGTGCTCAATCTCAAGGTGGGTGAAATGGGTAGAACTTGGGCTCTCAAGATTTTCAAGAATGGGTGTTTAATCTCAAGGTGAATGAAATGGGTAGAATGAAGGAGAAGGTTATATTTATAGCCTAGGATTTTTAAAGAGGGAAAAGCCTAAATTGAAAATTATGGCTCTCTTAAAAATCCTAGCAAAAATGGGAAAGACTTGAAGTGTGCACCAAAGCAAAAATATATCATACAAGTGAAGAGTCATCTAGCAAAGGAAGTCTCCGCCACTTATAACTTAAGATGCAATGCACTCATCTCCAAGTTTTCTTGGACATGGGGCATTGGGGGGCAAATGATTGGTCAATCCCAAATAGCCCAATTTATGAGAAAAGCTCAATCCCAATTAAGGAGCCCAACCTTGTAAAAGACCCACCAAGCTCAACACAGTCCAAGACCAGTCAAACTCGTTGCTTGGCTACGTCATCAAGAGGGAGAGCATGGGGGCCTTACCTGCACCACAGAGGAAATATTTCATCCTCACCTCATCTTTGACCGCATCTCATGGAGAGCTCCTCAACCTCCTTTCCCGTTGAGAAGAAGTCGTGAGTTCCACCAGAATAGTCGTTTAGTTATTGTAAATTAGCCCCAATTTGTTAGGGGGCCACTATAAATTGCACACCACACCAACACTTGGGGGGCATCACACTTTTACCTGGGCACAACTCTCTTATCTTCCTCAAAGCTTGTACTCTCTGCTCCCTACACCCTTGAGCAAATAAAGTACCCGGCGACCAAAGTCATTCAAGAGTAGACGTAGGTTACATTGACTGAACAACTATAAAATCTTGTCTCCTTCATCTCTCTTTACCTTTAATTACTGCATTTATTTTCAAACACTTGACAGATGGTGTGCAAAATCATTTTTGTGCATCATCAAATGGTATAGTGGTTAGTGTCTTTTTTACCTTGCTTCCTGGTAGAGAATTCTAGTCTTGCTAAGTCCCTCTTCCCCATATGAATAGTGACAAACAAAAAAAAAAGATATTGTAATTCTTTTGTTTCACTTTTGCTCATTTTAAATGTTGCTCACTAGGTCACATCAGCATTTTTAGTTCCATTTTTTGAAAAGTCGGGTATAATCCTATTTTTTGCAATTGTAGCAAAAAATATTAGAAAATAGAAGCAAGACTATTTTTCGATACCCTAATCTTACTCTTCTTATTATGTTTTATATATACAACAAACAATAGGTCTATGTAGTATTTGTAATTCGACTTTTGACTTTATATCAAAATAAATTTATTTGTACTAACTAGTTTTCGGTCTGATGGTACCCCTTATCTTTATAAATCAAGAATTCAAGTTTCTTGGGCGAAAAAGCATGATTGATTGATAAAACAGACCTTAGTTACTTAGATGAACCGTATATACTCTTGCATGGGTTCGAATCCTTACTGAAATGTAAATCTTAATTTAATTGGTACATAAGTTGAAGGACCGATTCATGCACCCAAAATTTATCCCTATTTATTTCCAAACTCACGAGCTTAAGTGACATAATACGTCTCTACTCTTCGAAAACAAACCAACAATTTCCTCGTTACCCAAACATTGAGGGTTGGAATTTTTGGAAAAAAAAAAAACCCTTTTCCCACTTCCTTTGGAACAGATAAAGGAATATCGGTTGTCGGCTTTGACTCCCATAAACAATGAGCTGGGGAATACAGAGATGAGAATGCCAGATTACAAGTTGACTTCAGGGGGTACAGTCCCGGAAGTTAGTTTACGGTGTTCAAATTTTTTATGGTGTTCAAATTTTTAATTGATCGTAATTTTTTAATCTATTCGATTCTATCATATTCTATTGAATGACTAGCCACAAAATTGGATAAGAATGTGAAAGAGTTTTTGGTCTTTCAATTAAATCGGATAGGAATGTGCAATACCCATCAATTTTTGCATTCTTACCCTACTTTATCCGCAAAAAATATATTTAATTTTCTTATATTTTTTTTAGTAACTGTAAGAGTATTTGTGTGGTATAATTTATATTATAACATTATTATTGTTGTAGATGTTTGAGTTGCGAAAACATAGACTTGTTTTTTGTGCCGGTTACATGATTTGTGGTGAACTGGTGATCTATTGAAGCAGTTATGATTTTAATGTATTTCATATGATTTAAACTTAAGATAATTGTTATTGTATTTATATAATAATTATAATGGATTAATGTTCATACTTTCTTATATTTTATTGTAATTGTTGTTGTAATTGTTTTAGATTTTAGTGTTATTGATTTATTGTGTTGTTAAATTAGTGCATGTTATTTAATTGAATTATTAAAATCATCCAAAAATTAATAGGTACAAAAGTGTTTACCTGACTTCTTACCCGATTAATCGGGTAAGAAGTCGGGTAGGGTAGAACAAAAAAACACTCTTCTGCAAAGTATCAAATAGGAAGACAAAAAATTATATTTTCTACCCGTAAGGTAGGGTGAACACCCTAGTTACCACTTTTTATATTTAGTGCAACACTTTTAAATTAAGTTATGTTAAAAAAAAAATTAAAATCAATCCTAAAATATTAAGATTAATTCCAAACATTCCATTTTGTTGTAACTTAGACACAAAAAAATCACTTTTCCACACGGTACCAAAGACTTACCCCATTGCAAGACATAAAATTTTTCGGGACCCACCCCCCCCCAAAAAAAAAAAAAAAAAAAAAAATTTGGCAGATAAATATCTACGAGTAATGTTATACTTACTAAAATTTTCACCAAAAAATGTTTCAATTAACTACATTGGAGGTCCTTAAAGTATGAAATTTATCTGATTTTAACCCTCAATATTTCAATTGCATCATTTTAGTCTATGATGTATTAAATATATTTCTATATAATCCCTCAAGCCAACATCCAAATTATTAGTAATTTTTTATTATAAATTTGTTACATGATACTTAAATATGGACAAAAAAATAATTTAAATAACTCTTAATAAAATTTTTACTCAAATTTCAGTTAGATAACTACCTAAATTACACAATTTTAATCATGAGATATCCAAATTTTAGTCAAAAATTATTCATATTATATATATTTTTTATCAAACGCTACCCAAATTTTGGTTAAGAGTTATCAAAATTATTTTTTGTCCATATCTAAATGTTACATGACAAGTTTATAATAAAAAATTATTAACAATCTAGACGTTATCTGCTTGAAAAACTATATAAAACCATATTTAATACTTCAGATATTGAAGACAAAAATGAGACAAATTTTGTACTTTAAGGACCTCTAGTACAATTAACCCAAAATGTTTAACTACATATCCAATTAAAAGCATTTTGATCAGCATTTAATGGTCCACGAGTGATATGAAGCTGCCAACTCGGTCTATAAAAATATTTTTGGTAAATTTTAGTATGCAGAACATTTTTTAATATCAGCATAAATCATAGAATTCACCTAATGGAGAATTTTTCCCCCCTCCCAGCATAGGTATTCTAAGCCTATCCGCAAGGAATACACTCGACGATAGCCACTACATGTGCGACTAGATACAATCTCTTCAAGATTAATCAGTTGCTACAAGAAGACTGAATAACACCTCGAGAAGAATGAAAATAACCGATAATATGATGTCATTCTATAATATAAAACAGAGCAATTTTTAATAAACTCATCCAACAGTTTCAATAAATTCATTTAACGACCACCAATATTCTTTTCAAAACCATTCACATTGCATTGTACCTTCAGGTATGGATTACCCCAAGTAATTTAATAAAACACATAGGTAGATCAGAATGCCAATATAGATTTCATAACCAATAGCAACCATTTAGAAGCAGAAGTTTGTCAAATCGCATTGCATTGCATTGCGATTTCATGGTCTATGCAAAAAAATTAAGCTACTAATTTCCCTGTTTCGACCAGTCTTTTCATAAACCCAGTTTTCTCATCCCTCACTACTTCTAAAGACTACATGATAAACTAACACACTTTTGAACACACAAATATGCAAAATGAGGTGTTACAGGTTCACTACGTTAATCATGTTAAATTAGTTCCAAGATATTATCACAAAGTTGCATCAAAAGAAAGAACCGGCGAACTTTCCTGCCACCACATGTTGTACAGATATGAAGAACGGACAAGCGCCCAGCATCTCCTGATTTATGATTAGCCATTTATACCTTTCAAACGTGCAATTAGTTCACCCTGCCAATGGGATCACACAAATCAGTAACTATAGATGTAGAAGAGAAATAGAAGGGAAAAACTCAGTCTGTAATCCATCTAGGCATGCTAATCTATGGACTTGATCAGTGCCATTAATCTAATAGTCCTAAAAAATTAGATTGGTATTATCACCATACAAAATGCATTTTAGAACAGTTAGAAATATCACATAGGTACAGAAAAGACTTTTAAACAACACAAGTCAATATTGTTTTACTTGCCTTCTTTCCTTTTAGAGAAAGACCTTTCTCCTTCAAAAGAGCACGGAGTCTCTCTACGGTCAAAAACTGTATATCCTTCTCAGGTACTTGAGATTTGGATCCAGCCTCTACATGCTCAAAAAGCCATTAGATACTTGAGAGGTGACATACATAACACAAATGAGGTAATTTAAAACAGAAAATATAAAGTGTGCATCACTGCCATAAACAAGCGTCATCATTTCAAACAGAGAATATAAAGTGTGTACTATTGCCATAATGAAAATACTTGAGTACATCGAGTGGACATGGATAAACAGATAACTGGGGGAAGAAATTGCTGCCCAAATTATTTGCAAACAGTTATCAAAAATACTGCATCAACAAGTATGGATAATCTCTTCCAACAATCTTCACAATTATTAGCCATTAACTATGCCCTATACTCACAAAGTTTCCTCTCTATGACCACCCAGCCCATACAAAAATGGACAATGTCATTTTCAAGGCCTAGACTAAAAACTAATGCTTCGTTTAGTACAATGGAAAAATGAAATGATAAAAAGTTAGAGGAATAGATAAAACATCATGTTTGGTAAGGAAAGAAAATATAAAGGATGGAAAAGTGAATGAATGGGCTTTCCTTGCAACTTATCAAAATCAATCCCTCTAAAATTGGAAAGAAAAGTGGATGGAAAGTTAATTATGTGTGTTGAAATGTAAGTTATTTGTCTATATATCATTTGATACATACATATATCATGTTTATCAATTGCATATTATGTATATATTAATTTCATATATGGATATAATGGTGAAATATGTTTTTATACTTTCTTCGAAAAAAAATGATAAATAAAACTAAAAAATACTTTTTTCATGTTACCAAACACAAAAAAAATATCTATTATTCCTATTTTACATCCCTCTTACCAAACACAAAGGAGAGAAGAAATGATTCATCCCTTAAAAGATAGAAAGTGTATCCCTCTCACTTTTCAGCCTTCTATTTTTCCATCCACCCTACTAAATGGGCCATAAGTGTTGAGGCCAAAATCCCTACCACAGGACAGAATGATCAGCCACAAGAGACTTCCAATGACATCAACAATCTTTATGACACGGTTAAATAACAATTATAAATGGCCATGGCTACAATGTCCCGACATTGATTCTGACCCTGTCTGCTAGACTAAGACGAAAAGGGTAGGGAATGAAGCAACAACACACACTTCAGTATCATACCGCAGCAAGATGTCCTGTTTGCAACATAGGTTCTCCAAAAATCCTAAGGTTTGTTTACAGGTCCATAATATACAAAACACTCACCTTGTCGAGAACCAACTTGATTATTGGTCATGGCCCTCTTAGCTGAAGCCCTTCCATCCAGACCTCTTTCAGCAACCCTGAAAAAAGTAAATGATCGGAGAGGCAAATGAGACCTTCCTCGATAAATGTGCAAAGAAGAAAGCAAAAAGAAACTGCCTCTATTTGGACAAAAAAAACTGACTCCTTGAGAAGGCAACAAGAGGAGCAAAAAATGCAAATGCACGCACTAAAGAATGCACAAAGGTGCCAAACATTGCTAACCTAAGGAAGGATGGATCTAATACCTCTTACTAGAACTCTCATTTGCAGCTGTACCCCTTGCATTCTTTGAACTGGACTCACCCTTTTGCTTCTTAAGCACAAGAGATCTAATCAGTATGTTCGTCTGGTTTGTCTTTATCAGCTGGTTCTCTAGATGCATCAAATAATTCAAAACCAAGCAAAAACTCTAGAACTATTAAGAAGTGCTAAGACAGGAAATGACCTGGGGGTGAAGTATTGTGGTCGCAAACATAAACACGCATTCCACCCTGCATAAATTCAATATGTAAATATAACAGAATACATGGAAGAGCCTGACGTACATTTTTGAAGCAGGACAAAAAAAATGGGATGGGAAACAAAGATTACTATGATAATGAAATTAAATGGATAGCAGTAGGAAAACAATGGTATCTAAACAAGAAAATAGAACCATCTAATTAACAATGCAACTTTCCCACTTGCAAAGCAGACCGAGTAACTAATAAGTTTCTTTCAGGAATTGTCTTAAAAATTAGCTGAAATAATGTTCTCTAACTTTTTTTTACCTTTTTTCCTAGTAATATCCTATCGGGAGTAAGAGCAAGTCAGTAATGAATTTTTTCTGGGGAACAAACATTACCCTTCAGCAATCACACCACTCTTACACCAAAAGGCACCTCTTCACTTCATCCATCTTGCTCTAATTCTACAGGCAATGAATCAAGTTTCATCCTTATGGCTAATATAAACCAAGCAAATAAATCTTTGGACTTTAGCTATCCATGATGTCCTTACCATTCCTGGTCCTGGTGTCATCCCTCTAAAAGTGTGTATCTGTGCGCACGCGCCTGAGTGTGTGAGTCTGGTGCCTGTGTACTGTACTACGATATTTCCCAAATCATATCACAGAATTAGTGCAATCTATGTATTATGTTATGAAATAATATAACTTTTCAGGAAAAAAAAAATTGATCCGAGAGATACTTGCTTTCAGTAAATACTCTGAATCCTTGAAGATAATAGCTAATTCACATGTAAAATACTGTAAACATGAATAAAAAATATAGCCAAAATGACATCTAAACCCATAAACACGCAAAACTAAGGAAAAAACCCTAATTTTTCTCATTTTACAAACCAAAACTTCATGATGATCAAAGTTTAAAACAATGTAAGCAAGTTATGCGAATATCCATCAAATGCGAACAAAAAAACTAATGTTTATGAAAGGATTACAGAAGTGAAAGAGTGAGATTACCAGATTGGAGGAGTGGACAGTGGAGGAGAACAGCCCTCGAGAGGGGAGGTCGGCGAGAAATTTCGAGGCTCCGCCTGCCGCCGTCTGATAGTTTGAATCGGACGGCGTAGCTATTGAGTCATCCATTGCGCGCGTCTAATCAAATTCTTCTGTGGAAACTCCGCACTGAAACGTGTGGAATTCGGCTATGTGACAGTACCCGCGACATATATTTTGGTCTACTAGGAATTTTTTTTTTATATATATTTTTATTTTAATCGTCATGAATATTCAGATCAATTTATGTGATTTAGACTAATTTTTTTTTCAATTCTGTTAAGGCTATCCACACTAAAATTAAAAAATTAATAAAAAATATATTTCTCAAAAAATTACTAAGATTTAAACTTAAAACGTCTAAATTTATCCATCGCCTTTATTATTATTTGAGTTATTCATTGGAATTAACATTTTCTATATCGAGGAAGGCATTGTTTTGGTGCATACTTTTTAATAAGATTGAAAATAAATAATATTTTTGATAATATCTAAAAAATTTGATGAAAATAAAGAATAATTTTTAAAAACAAATTTACAAAATGTTATTCGAGGCATATGAAATATTTTAAACTATTTGTCAAAATATGTCAAAATATTTTGAAACATAAGAATTTTGGTATTTAATGATTCGTTTCGATTTTCATAAAATCAGATACTTTTTAATCACTTAGAACGAGGGCGTAGCCAACATCTCACTCTTAGGTAGGCAAAAATATGAATACAAAAATTTCTATAATTGATGTAAGTTATTAAAAGTTTAGACATATTTTTAAAGGCAAACATAAGAAATATGTTTATCAATCAAAACTAAATTACTAGAAGAAAATATATTCTAACACTTTTTAGCCTTACTAAGATATGGAACAAAAAAAAAAAGCATAATACTTGTGTCATTGTGCATTCCACCGAATTAGCTATCCAAATAAATTTTAATGTCATATCATGTCTTAAAAATCATTTATTTCAGTCCAAAATTTTTCAGTATTTTTTTTTGATATAAATAATCAAAGAGTTCACCAATAAAATTATTTTTTTGATTATATAAATAATCAAAAATAATCCTCAAAACTTAAATAGCAACACTAATTGGAATGGTCATTATAATTCAACACTTAACCAATGTATTTTTTGACTTCTCAAAACATAAAAGGATAAGATATAAAATAATAATACTATTTATTAAAAAAATGATCAACAATAAATATATTTGTATTCACACCTAAAATCAAATTACAATAATAGAGGAAAGAGAAAGAAATTTAAGCACTCAGTTGTAATTGAAACGAGCAGTGGTAGTAGTAATGGACGAAAATGATAGTGTTGGTGGAAAATGGTGATGGTGATGGTTATGATAGTGGTAGTCATGGAGGCAATGGTAATAGTAGAGATGATGATGGGACAATGACAGCAATGGTAAGATAGCGGCAGCGGTAGTGGGGATGGTGGTGGTAGAGTTGTGATAGTGGTGATGGTGGCGACGATAGTGATAATGAGGCGGTAGGAGTGGTGGTAAGAGTGATGAGGGCGGTAGATGTGATGATGATGATAGGGGGTGGCGATAGTGGTAGTGGTTGTTATGACAGATGTGGTAGTGGGATAACAACGACGACGATGATTGTAGTTGTGGTGGTGGTGATGGGACAGCGGGGGGGTGGTGGTGAAGTGACAGTGGAGGCGGTAGTGGTGAGTGTAATGATAATGGTGAGGCAGTTCCAAACACTATTTTTTTTTTAAATATTTATGATAAATTATAAAGTTATATAAACCACTTTTAAAAAATTATCTCAAACACACTCTCAGAACCCTATTTTTCTTATTAATTTTAAAGTATTAGTATTAACTGTTAGATTAATTTTAAAGTAAAATTTAAAGAGATTTTAACTGCGAAAAATAAAAATTATTTTATTTATTTTAAAATTTAAATTCTGTTGTACTTTATTATATAATTTTTTCAAAACAATGACATATAAAGGTATAAGGAAAAATTAAAAAATTAAAATGGTAGACTCGACGGTGGAGCCACTCTTAGGCCACGGTGGCCCCGTGCCCCCTGTCACTTGTCTTGTCTATTACATATATTAAGCGGTAGTTCTATACTCCGTTTAGTATGAGAAATGAAAAAATAAAAAGATGAATAAGTGTGAAAATACACTTTCCTTTTCTTTTTTTAATTTTTTGGGAGTGGGTGTGGGGGAGGGGGGAAGGAGACTTGAACCCTTGATCTCAAGAAGGTCATTTTTTCACAAGGCAAAAAATATCATTTGACCAAAGGGGCATTGGTGTGAAAATACACTTTTCATCCTTGAAAGAAATAAACAAATTTTCTCTCATTTGTGTTTTATACGATGGATAGAAAATTGAAACAATTAATTTTCTATTGTTTGGTATTAGAGAAAATTTACCATTATACCCTTATATATATAAAATAATTATCTTATAAATAAATTTAAGTGATTCAATGTCACTCTAATTAGTTAGAAGTTGGAATCGCTAGTAATCGTCGGTCAGCCATACGACGGCAAATTTGTTCTCGAGCCTTGTACACACCGCCCGTCGTACTTTGGGAGCGGGCCATGCCCTTTCTCAACCAATAATGGAAAATGTTTTCTTTCTTCCCATTTTTCCTTATCACATGTCCCATCCACTTGTTTTTTCCTCTTATCAAATAGGGCACTTAAAATTAGAAAGCCATTTATCTAATGCATTATTGGGCTGGTCCCGCTAATTAAGAAGACAAACAATTATGGTTACAATAATAATAGTATTACACAATATTAATATCACATCATTAAATCAATAAATTTTTATGTCTAACTAATATTACTCTTCTCCATACAGTACCTGAAAATAAAATAAAATAAAAATACCATAGACCTCATTTAGAAGAAATTAAGTTAAACAAAATAAATGTCTAAATTTGCTTCAATTATTAAAATGTATAATGAAAGAAAGATCCAATTGGTTAAAAAAAGCGGGACAGGTGGCATGGCGGCTTTTGTCAAATGCCACGTCATCACTAGCGAGTCAAAACCACAATCCATAAACCACGGTCCCGGTGCATGTTAGAGAGTGCATGGCAGTGGCTATTATTAAACTTCGGATAACTACTACTAAGTTTGCCGGAAAACTAGTAAAATAATGGTCAGGATAAGCATGCGCGAGCACTACCTGGAGACATCCACCATCCAACTTTGACCACGCAACTACATCAATGCTGACGCACCTCCACCTGCAAGATCGTACCACCTGTCCAGAGTTCACCCATCTAGCACTTGATCTATTTTTAATGGTCCAGATTGGTACCTTAGGTTGCAGCGCGTAGTACGATATAATCTCTCTGGCGAGTTTTTAATCATTAACGGTTAGCGTGAAGATAGTATCAAGTTCTTGTCAGCTTTCTAAACTTTGGAATTGCAGGCTTTTGAGAGAGAAAGAGAGAGGGGTTAGTGTCTGTGTGCGTGTGTGTGAAAGAGAGAGAGAGAGAGAGATCATGGTGGTGGAAGATGGTAGTCCAAGGAGCCCAGAGGCGACGTTGGGGAGGCATGTGGAGGATCTGTGGGACATACAAGAGCCACAGCTCAGTCCAACTGAGAAGCTCAATGCTTGCTTTGAGAGCATCCCTGTCTCTGCCTTCCCTCCTGCTCCTTCTTCTCAAGGTAATATATTAATAATATGCTGCATACCCACGAAATTATATTTGTAATTATGCATTAATTCTCTTTATTTGGCCTTAGTTCTATTGCTAATCCATCTGATCAAGACCTTAGATATGAGGATGAACACATGAGAATGAAAGTTAGAAATCCTCATCCTTATATGTATGGTGTAAGTGTGTGTTTAGGGATATTCATTGTATTTTGAGGCATGGATTTTGATTATTATGATTATTTATTGACGATACAGAGCACATGAGGAGAAATTAGAGAAAAAATTTCTCGCTATTTCTGGTTTGTTATATGTTCGATGTTGACCATGTTGGGTTTGAGAGTTATGCACAAATTATTATGAAGGAAAAAGTTACCATTGCTGATTAAATTCAAACCTAAGCTTAAAATCATCAGAAAATTTTATCTGGATCAAGCTGCGAGGAAACGTTTTTGTTAAAAGAAGTCCCAAATCAAGGAGGAATCTGAAATTCTGATACATAATTTTTGTATGTATGACTTTCGTCTCTTTCTTGGTGACCAAACACTAGTTAGGGTTTAAAGAGGTATTACAAGATAAGAATATAAGGATAAATAAACACCATATGTGCACTGACCATGCTCTCAGAGTGTTATGTGTGTCTGGCTATATTTATTTTTGCATTTTATTTATACTTATCATGCTCATGGAGTCATGCTTATATGTGCATTTGTATTCTATATCTTCATGTTTTGAGGTGAGGGGGTGTCACAGGGCAAGTAGTTGTGGGTTCTAACCTCATCCCATAAACCCCAAACCCCCCCAACCCCCCCCCCAAAAAAAAAAAAAACACACACACACACTCTCACACACAAAATTCTATATCTACAACCTTCTGTTTTTGGTAGAGTTGGCATATGCTGCAAGCCTTTGTCATTTGCTTTCAGGTTCTTAGTTTCTTTCTTACTTCCTTCTGCTATTGGCCTCACTGTTTGCAAAATCTGTTTGTAGTAATTGAGCTAAACTCGGATACCAGCTTGGCTGACGCAGTTAAGTTACTGTCCAAACATAAAATTCTTAGTGCACCCGTTGTGGATGTCAAGGCGCCTAAGGACGCGAGTTGGATCGATAGATACATTGGTATTGTGGAGTTTGCAGGAATTGTCGTGTGGATTCTTCATCAGGTTTGCCTCCTATCATTGATAATTGAAAGTAGAAGCAGGTGGATCGTCTTTGTGGCTAATAACTGAAAACAGGCTTTTTGGTTGTTGTTGTTTAGGATTTTTCTTAGATTATATTGATTGATAGCCGAGGGCAATTTGAAATCAATGGAATAGAGGCAGCCCTTTTCTATCAAGCCACCACTTGCTTCTAACTTCTAAGAGTAACTGATATGCCAAGGAAACACCCCGGTGGAACAAGTATAGTTTTGATGAACCACTTATGATATTACTTTTCTGTGTGTAAGTCAGATCTTCGAAACCGCTAATCCCTTATAGGTAGAAGGTGATTGCAAACAAACGAATCTTGGAGCAAGAACCTCCACCTACGGGTGGGTTCCCTACCATTAGATCATGAACTGATACTGTATGGAAGACTCTAACCACTAAGTGAAGTAAGTCAATGAGAGTTCATATTCGTCCATTTCTTTTTTTCTTCAATTGATAATAGCTATGCTATTCCATGACTTCCACTAGGTATAAAGTGACTGGGTTCCAAACCTCGCCCTTCATAGAAAGATATTTAAGTTGCTTCATAGATTTCTGTCTTTTTGTTACGTGACAGTATCATGGTTGTTACAGCTGGGGCTATGCAATCATGATAATGGGGTGGGATTCCTTGATATTAAGGTATCATGATGGTCGGGAATTGGCTTAGCCCGTTGTGGTAACATCTCTCAGTTCATAGGTTTGTGATTAAATAATTCTTTAAATCCATTCCGAGCCTGTTCTTTCCACCTCTCCTCTCCAATCCTCTATCAAACGTGTTCCCCAGGTGCCATGAAATGAAATGCAAATTGGTGACCACAATATTTTGCACGGGTTTCTTCTACAACTAAATTGAAGCATCATTACTTTAGAACTTTCCTTTGTTTGGCAAGATACCCACTACATTTTCTTCAAAATGTCAACACTTCAGTTGGTGCTGACATATTGGATATATATAGTTGGCAAAAACCTGAAATGGAACTTGTACCTTCATTAATGTCTGGATTTTGGTAGTCTGTGTTCTTTTATTTCCTTTTGTCAAAGAATAAGATGGTAATTTTTATGGTTGGTCAAGTGGGAGGCAATTTTGAGGTAATTATTAATATATGGACATGGGGAGAAAGCAAAAGCTGATTCACTGGCATTGCTTAATGTTTGCATTCAGATATTGCATAGAGGTCAGGCTTCAATGCTCCAATCAAACCTTTGTACTCTGTGAAAACGATGTCTGATTCTTTGCTGCAGTATTTGGTTGTCTTCATGCCTTCCTAATGGAAGCTTACATATGGGCTCATTTTTTTTGCAGTCAGAAAAGATGGAAGGATCTGCGGGCTCAGCATTCGATATGTATGTATCAGAGGAAACCATTGGACCTGCTGTTGCAGCCGCAGCTAATGGGTTATCTTCTCCAAGATTTAGAAGCTTGCACCCTGAATCTCCTACAGCCACTTCTGGGAACTTTTTTGAGACTCTTACTTCTTCTGACTTTTATAAGAACACAAAGGTTATTCTTTTAACTTCTATACTAAGAAAGAGTTTTTAATTCTAGTGAACTTTTTATTCTCTTTGTACTTCTTCAGTATTTTCTTCATGAAACATCCTACACTTGCTAACTTATGAGTACACAGGTTCAAGATATCTCAGGTTCATTCCGCTGGGCTCCATTTCTTGCTTTGCAGAAGTCGAACTCCTTTTTGACGATGCTCTTGCTGCTATCAAAGTACAGAATGAAAAGTGTTCCTGTGGTTGATCTAGGTGAAACAACAATTGATAACATAATCACCCAATCTGCTGTGATTCACATGTTGGAAGAATGTGTTGGTCTTCACTGGTTTGAAAGCTGGGGCACTAAAAAACTATCTGACCTTGGTCTTCCTCTAATGAAGCCCAGTCGCATTGTTAAGGTATTTGACTTCTTTAGTTAGAATTATCTTTAAAATATTGGATATCTGCAGCCACAATCTATTCTAAGTGGATGTTCTACAATGGTTGATTAGTTCAATCATTACTATAAGATTACGCCCCTCTTTTTTTTTTTTCTCCATCGAGGGCTGAAGGGTAGTGTTATGTCGTTTTAGGAATTTTATAATGGAGGCAACAATCGTGACATAATAACTGTGTTGGTTAGTCAAGTGGTTGATATCTAGAATCTTGTCAAATGCAAGTATTGTCAGATAACTTCCACCACTAAGTTACAATGGCCTGAGAAAATGATTTCAACATTGAAGCCCACATTTCCCCCCAAATCCACATTAAAATCTTGGTCGACAAACATGATCTTGTGATTGATGGGGTTTGTGATTCCTCCTCCTTTCTTTTCAGGTGGATGAGGATGAACCAGTGCTACAGGCATTTAAACTGATGAGACAAAAGGGAGTTGGTGGGGTACCAGTGGTCGAAAGTGGCGGAAGTAAAGCAGTTGGTAATATAAGCATCAGAGATATTCAATTCCTTCTAATTGCGCCTGCAATCTACAAGGATTACAGGTTTATAGCCGAAACTTTTCTAGCTTTTTTCCAGCTCAAGTCTGCAACTCCCTCCCCCCCCTCTCCCAAAAAAATAAAAATAAAGTGTACAACTTTTCCCTGATGGGTCATGGAAATATTAAAGGAGCTTATTGGATCTCAGAGATATCATCAATCTTAACACGTTCATCTGGAATGTTCTTACAGATCTATAACGGCCAAGAACTTTCTGACAGCAGTTCGAAGCTACCTGGAGGAGAATCAAAAAGATTCACCATTGTTGAGTGGCATGGTTACATGCCAAAGAGACAACACACTCAAGGAAGTTATTCTGAAACTCGACTCCACAAAGATCCATCGGATTTATGTCGTGGATGATGCTGGAAATCTAGAGGGGGTAATCACTCTCAGAGACATAATTTCAAAGCTAGTACACGAGCCTCGTGGTTACTTTGGTGATTTCTTTGATGGTGTTCTTCCCCTGCCCGCGAACAGCAGGGTCTAACTAGTTCCAAACTAGTCAATGTAGTTTTTTTTTGTGGCTGATGGATCTTGCGTTATTAACCTCCTCTCCTTTCCTTTTGTTGTATCATCTGTGTCATTGTCCTGTCGTCGTTAACTTGCTGGAAATGATGGTGTAAATTGGTTGAGGTAGTCGTAATAATCGGACGCTGTTATTTTCAGTTTTATCTGTTGTACTGCAAACTCCAGCAGCATTCTGTGGTAATGGAAAATAAGATCCTTTCCCATAAACTTCTGCCCTTCTAATTTGAATGGTTTCACCGTTTGAGGTGTGCTTGTGATTCTTTTTTTTTTTTTTTTGGTTAACAACAGCGTTGGGATATTTTTGTTCAATTATAGACAGTTGTGTAGTAATATTATACTCTGATGCATTGAACTGTCGTTGTTTATTAGACTCTTATGCATTAAACTGTAATTGTTTATTAGACTCATCGCTTCCTGTTGGAATCTATCACAGTTTATCATCAATCGGCTTGTAGTATATGGTCATTATAGAATTTTTGTTTTTTCTCAGTTCCATTGCAATTAACAAGCATAATATTCCTTCAAAAAAAAAAATAGAGGAAATTTTTTGCATGACGTTCAAATGGATTTATATTCATATTAATGCAGAGAGTTGAAAATTTTATATAAAAATTTGCAAAAAAATGACTCCAAAAGTCTGTCTCTCTTCGGATGTTGTGTTATGAAAAGTTTTATTCATATTACATGAAAATTTGTAAAAAATAAGACTGCAGAATTCTGACATTCTTTAGATATCGTGGTATGGAAGATTTATTTGAAGGATGATTAATTAAAGAAATAATCCAACATCTTCATGTTTGTGACCAATAAATATTTTTTATTCAAAAGAAAGGTAAATTGATGAGATAATCTAGGATGTTGGTGGCCAATAAGTTTTTTCTGCTCATAAAGTACTTTAGGAGTGTAATTTGGGCGGCGAATCCAAAGTCAACTCAAAAAAATCAGTGTTTTTGTTAAATTTTTTAAAATTTGGGCCAAAAATCATCAATCTAAAGTAAATTCGGACTAAATTCGTTTTGAGGTTTCAGGTTCAACCTGAGTCCAAATCAAATTACTAAAAATGGAGTTCAACTAGAATTTAACCCAAACTTTTATTCGAGTATTAAAAATAATGTGTGTTATTTAAGCATTTAAGATATACACAGGACTACACAATAAAATAATGTGTTATTTAGACTCATCAAGAACTTTTTATAGCACTACACGGAGTTAAAAGAAGATGTTAAAATTAGAATCTGTGTCTTTAATGTGCTTGATTTTTATTGGGTCTAGGTGAGTTTAATAAAAGAGTTAAAAAATATTTACATTTAAGAATCTGAATTTACCTAAAAAATTAAACCCTATTTAAAATATTGGGTTCAATCAAATTCAACTCGAGCCTAACCTGAATCCAAGCGTGTAATACTCCGGTTAGAGTTGAATTAGGATTAGAGTTTTTATATCTTGGATTAAAACCGAGTTGACTCCCTAACCCGTCTGTGCGTGCAAGATCCTGCACAATATAAAAAAGATTGGGAACAGATCTCTCCCCTGGTGAACTTTGAGTGAGCCGGTTGAGTGGTCAAACACGCTGCTTGAAACAGCCTGCAAGGTACGGTGGCAACCTGGAACGGCAAAGGAAGATCCTGGGAAAGGAAGAACGATCCTGTACGTATGAAAGGTTTTCCTGGAATAAAGAGGAAGCAAGTTAGAAGGGTGCCGGAGTGTGTTCCGGCGTATCCCCTCCGACGGTCTAGTCAGTCTTTGAATGAGAGAGAGAGGAAGAAGAAAACACTGAGAAAATCTGTATTGTAGTAGAGAGTTTTTGATTTCATACCCGCTTTGCTTTTTGGGAAGAGTATTTATACCTTAAAAGCTCATGATTGCTGTCAGTGTGGTCAGTAGGTGATCATCAGGCACAGGTAGCGTGTGTATTGATTTGATGAGGAATGTCTTCTCTAATTGACTGCTCGGGGTCCCGAGCAATCAATGCTGAGTCGTCGGGACGCCGACGGTACAATATGCTCCTTTCGGGAAGGATGCAATAAATACTCTGTAATAGGAGCATTTATTGCCTTTCATATCCGAACCTTACCGCATTGAATGCGGTCTCGTCAACAGAAGGGTGCAATTAATTGTTTGCTTTCCCAAGCCATGTGTCAGTAACGGCGTGCAGTTTGTCTGTCTTTGATGTGACATCATTTGCCACGCGTCCATCCCTTACTGGCTGTGATTACTGTATTCCGGTATGTTCTGACATTACTTGTGTAAGACGAGGTCATGATGAATAGTCTAGACTGGCATAGGCTGATGACCCGCACGTCAGTAGCTTTATCCGGGTGTAGGGGAAACGTCCAGGACGGAGTGACTCTCGGCACTGAGGAAAGGCTCACCTCGGGGACCGAGGGTGGTATGTTTCCGAGGTACACGGGTGACCGAGGACACGTGTTGTATAATACACCGAACGCGTGATCCCATGAGAGGTACCTCGAGGGAGAGGACACTCTTTGCCGATGGTGCTTAAATCCGAGCAACACTGTTCCAGAAAACCCGAGGACACGTCTCTTCATCATAGGGCTTTTCAGAAGAGTCCCATCAACTGCCCCCCAGTCTTCGATCTTCTGACACCGAGGACACGCGTTGTAAGGAGACGAAGGGTTTCCCAACTGCCATCCGTCCTTCATTATGGCCTCGAGCCGCTTTCCCCGGCTTGGGATGTCGTGCGCATTAAATGCGCTGTTTTGGTTCTCCCGCCCAATGATGAAAATTTCCCCCTATATAAAGGGGGTTCTTCTCTGGTTGCCATCGTTTTGCCATTTCGATCTTTTATCCAGGGTACGCCTTTCTTGATCTTTCGCCGGAGTTCTTTTCTTCTGCCATCGTCGACTGCTCTTTCTCTCAAAATCACAGAGCCAGCAAACCCATTGTTGATTCCTGGACTTTCTGGTGGGAGTCGTTTTAAAGTTTTTCCTGAAAAACTCCATTTTTGACGTTTCGGGTGAGTTTCACAACCTTCTTTTTTATCGTCCTCCTAGCCTTTTTGTTTTTCGATTGAACGGTGGTGTCATCCGGTCGGCACGTCTTGATTTAAACCCTCGGGGAACTTCCTCGGGTTTTCAAGAGTAAATACCTTTTTCTTCCTTTTCTTTTAGAGATGCCTCGTCGTCGCCCTGCTCCCGAGAATCCACCGACTGGTCCCTCGGGGTCAGGGAAATACAAGGTGAAAGGCGAGGAGCAGATTGATAGGTTTAGGGTCAAGTACGGCATTCCCCCGTGCGTAGACGTGGTGGATTTTAACCCATTGTTGCACTCATCTACCTTCGGGGCCGAGGATGTCATGCCTTTCTATACCAAGGCCATCATAGAGGGTGGAATTAGGTTTCCTTTACCCCCCCTGCTTCTTTAGTTCCTGTCTCGCTTTCACCTCTTCCCCTGACAATGTTGCCTTAATGTCTTTCGAATAATCATGGGGGTCTTAGAGCTCAATAGGCGCCTCGGGGTGAATATTGGGCTCAATGATCTCCTTTTCTGTTACTCCCTCCTTAGAGTCATGCCTCACCAACACTTCTACCTCAAAGCCAAGGACCCCTCCATGTACCTTGTAACCCATCTTCCTGACTCGGACAAGGGGTACAAGGACGACATCTTAATCTTCAAGGGATGTTGGCAGAGGGGTGTTGGTCCCGAGTACAATGACTTATTTTGCCCTCTGGAATGGAGAACGACAAGTACGTCGGTTCCTTCGGGTTCTTTATTTGTTTCTCGGGACTTCTCATGTTTATGACAATCTTTTTTGTTGTGCAGATATTCCTTCTCGGGAAACAGCTCCACCCCCTTGGTCGCTGGTGAACTTTGCCGACCTAATCGCGGTTTGGAGTTTCACGGGTGACAATGGGTTCGGCCGAGCTGCTCATAATCTGCTGTACTATACCCCCGGGTATAAGAAGTTTTCACAGCTTCCTCAACCTTTCGAGCCTTCGCAGTGGTCAGAACTCTTCGATCAGGCGGCAAAGCTAGAGGCTGAGGAAAATTTGGAGGAAGACCCGGATCGGGCTTCGGAGGCAGAGGTCGAGGGAGTTGCTGAAGAGGTCGGGGTCAGAGAGGACGTTGCTCCTTCGGACGCCGAGGTGGGGACTCCGGGAGGTGACTTGTGGCCTGACTTTCAAATTCTTCAATCTTTGGACGCCGAAGACGCTCTCGAGGAAGCGATGTCTAACGCCCCTCGCATTAATTTGGGGTTCCTTAGGCAGAGGCAAGCCCTCGCAGCCGGGAGAGGTCGAGGGACGACCGGCGGTACTCCGGCGGGGACCAGTTCTGCCGCTTCTTCGAGGGTTCTCGGTCGGGGTCAGGTGCGAGACCGGGATCCTCAGGTGGAAGAGGAGAGAAGGGTCAAGCATTGGCATGACGGCCTTGGCCGGGGACCCAGGGCACCTCCCGCTCAACAGCAAAGCGGGAGGGATCGTGGATTACCCCCTGCTCCCCCACAACAGCAGCAGCAGCAACAACAGCCCCGACAACAGCAGCAGCAGCAGCAACAGCAACAACAACAGCAGTAGACTACTCCTTCCCTCCCGCCTACAGTGGAGGCCGTGGAGTAGAATCCCCGAGCCACTGATCACATGAACCGAGTGATCAGGGTCGACGATTCCATTCTGCAGGATCCTCATGTCGCCCATGCAGTGAGTGAGACATTGCATTTTGAGGCTGACATGGAGGCTCATCGGGGGCGATCAACCAACGTGTTGTTCCGCTCCATCATCCAGAACTCCCTGGTGGTGAGTTCATTTTTGCTTTGGTTTCTTTACTCTCGTTTTCCATTTTTGTGATTTAACACTCTTTCGTTGCTTTGCAGGCTACCCAGCAGATCTCCATCATAGCTGCTCGGTACCACGGGTCTAGGATGGACCTCCAGAGGGCTCGAGGTCAGAAGGAGGAGGCGGAAGCGGCCCTCGCCCGGACAAAGGAGGATGTAGCTGCCCGGGATTCTACCCTGGCGGGGCAGGCTGCTCAAATAGAGCAACTCCTCAAGGACGCCGAATCGGCCAAGGCGGGCGCTGAAAAACTAAGTGTCGCACTTGCCGATGCTGAGAGGAGGATTACCGAGCAAACGCAGCGGCTTTCTGCTGCGGAGGAGAGGGCAGTGGGCTCCGAGGAAAGCTGTCTGGCCCTTACCCAGGAGCTAGACAGGATCAGGGCCGAGGAGCTGAACCGGAAGTCGGAGGAACAACTCCTGGAGGAGTTTGCCGATGACGTGCTCCCCGCTCTTGAGGAAAACAGCAAAGAATT